GAGTACCGAGTACCGAGTCCCGAGTCCCGAGTCCCGAGTCCCGAGTCCCGAGTCTCAAGTCTCGAGTCCCAAGTACCGAGTACCGAGTCCCGAGAACCGAGTACCGAGTCCCAAGTACCAACCACTGACCACCGATCACTGAGTGCCAAGTACCAAGTACCAAGTACCAAGTCCCAAGTCCCAAGTCCCAAGTATCGAGTACTGACAAATACAATTCCCAGGTTATTTGAGCCCTACACCAATGGATAATACATACAAATACAATTTGTGTCCATTTGAAGTACCGGGTTTCAGGTTTTGACACTCGACACTTGGTGATTTGTGAAATGAGTGAAAAATGGACATGTTGTGTACATGATTTTGGGTTTTGGGCTTTGGGTCTCGGCCCTCGGCACTCGGAACTCGATGATTTGAGTAATGTAAATGAAAAATCAACATGTTGCATGCCGGGTTTCGAGTTTCGGGTTTCAGCACTCAAAACTCAGTGATTTGTACAGTGAGTGAAAAATGGACATGTTGTGCACATATTTTCGGGTCTCGGGGTTCGGGTTTCGGCCCTTGGAACTCGGAACTCAATGACTTGTGTAATATAATTGAACAATGGACATGTTGCACACCCGGTTTTGAGTTTCAGGTTTCAGCACTTGAAACTTGGTGATTTGTGCAACAAGTGAAAAATGGACATGTTGTGTACATATTTTCGGGTCTCGGGGTTCGGGTTTCGGCCCTCGGAACTCGGAACTTAATGACTTGTGTAATATAATTGAACAATGGACATGTTGCACACCCAGTTTTGAGTTTTGGGTTTCCGCACTTGAAACTCAGTGATTTGTGCAACAAGTGAAAAATTGAAATGTTGCATACATATTTTCGGGTCTCGGGGTTCGGGTTTCGGCCCTCGGCACTCGGAACTTGATGATTTGTGTAATATAAATGAAAAATGGACATGTTGCATGCTGGGTTTTGAGTTTCAGGTTTCAGCACTCAAAACTCGGTGATTTGTGCAACAAGTAAAAAATGGACATGTTGTGCACATATTTTCGGGGTTCGGGTCTCGGACCTCGGACCTCGGACCTCGGAACTCACTGATTTGTGTGATGTAAATGAAAAATCAACATGTTGCACGCCGGGTTTCAAGTTTTGGGTTTCAGCACTCAAAACTCGGTGATTTGTGCAATGAGTGAAAAATGGACATGTTGTGTACATATTTTCGGGTCTCAGGGTTCGGGTTTCGGCCCTCGGAGCTCGGAACTCGATGATCTGTGTAATATAAATGAAAAATCAACATGTTGCATGCCGGGTTTCGAGTTTTGGGTTTCGGCACTTGAAACTCAGTGATTTGTGCAACAAGTAAAAAATGGACATGTTGTGCACATATTTTCGGGGTTCGGGTCTCGGACCTCAGACCTCAGAACTCAATGATTTGTGTGATGTAAATGAAAAATCAACATGTTGCACGCCGGGTTTCAAGTTTTGGGTTTCAGCACTCAAAACTCGGTGATTTGTGCAATGAGTGAAAAATGGACATGTTGTGTACATATTTTCAGGTCTCGGGGTTCGGGTTTCGGCCCTCGGAGCTCGGAACTCAATGACTTGTGTAATATAATTGAACAATGAACATGTTGCACACCGGGTTTCGAGTTTCGGGTTTCGGCACTTGAAACTCGGTGATTTGTGCAACAAGTGAAAAATGGAAATGTTGCATACATATTTTCAGGTCTCGGGGTTCGGGTTTCGGCACTTGGCACTTGGCACTTGGTTATTTGTGTGATATAAATGAAAAATCAACATGTCGCACACTGGCTTTCCAGTTTCACGCTTTGGCACTTGAAACTCAGTGATTTGTGCAGTGAGTAAAAAATGGACATGTTGTGTACATATTTTCGGGTCTCGGGGTTCGGCCCTCGGCCCTCGGCACTCGTAACTCTATGATTTGGGTTATATAAATGAAAAATCAACATGTTGCACACTGGGTTTCAAGTTTCACGCTTTGGCACTCAAAACTCGGTGATTTGTGCAACAAGTGAAAAATGGAAATGTTGCATACATATTTTCGGGTCTCGGGGTTCGGGTTTCGGCACTTGGCACTCGGAACTCAATGAATTGTGTAATGTACATGAAAAATGGACATGTTGCACACTGGGTTTCAAGTTTCACGCTTTGGCACTCGAAACTTGGTGATTTGTGCAGTGAGTGAAAAATGGACATGTTGAACAATGGGTTTCAGGGTCTCGGGTTTGAAAAATAGCATAATAACAACTTTCATGTTTTCATTATCATTTGCCTATATTGACTACTGAGTCTGATAAGAGACCCCTTGGATGATTCATTGCTCAATGAAATACTACCTGATTGGAAGTGTGCTGGTTATCATATATTCATTTGTCGACTCCCGGGTCCCGGAACTTGGAAGTTGGTACGGTTGACCCAAATTTGGGTGGTCGGAACTTGGCATCTCATAGGGCAACACAAGCTTCACACCCTGGATTCCAAATTCTGCAAGACAACCTGTGCACCATCAAAGGCCATGTCAGGAGATCACCTGCTGCTCTGGGAACTCAGGAACTTTGATTTATTACCTCCTCTGAGTACGGTTGACCCAAAGGTTGGTAATCGGAACTTGGCTTCTCATAGGGTAACACAAGCTTCGCACCCCGGATTCCAAATTTTGCAAGACAACCTGTGCACCATCAAAGGCCATGTCAGGAGATCACCTGCTGCTCCAGGAACTTGGTAACTTTGATTTTATTACCTCCTCTGATTTGGTTGATGTACAACTACCTCAGCTCCATCATGTTTACAATTATGATACACATGGGCCCACCCATCTATATTTTATACCACCCTTGGCCCACCCGTCTAATACAACATCCCATACAACACCCTCGGCCCACCGGTCTAATTAATATGCGTCTGGGCCCACCCGTATAATACAATATTGTATAATACCCTCGGCCCACCCGTCTAATTTAATATGTGTCTGGGCCCACCCGTGAATGTGATAACAAGTACCTACCCATCTATCTCATACACATCTACCTTAATACACCCATCTGCATAATATCCAACTACCTCGGCCCACCCGTCTACCTAATATTCATGTACATTGGCCCACTCATCTACTCTATATATCCCCTGCATGGGCCCACCCGCCTCCATCAGGAATAATTTGCCTCCCGGCCCATCCGTAATAGTCGAGGATATTTTGATCATGGGCCCATGGTCCGCTGGCCCGTATCATACGGGATATTATGCACGTCCGTTCCCTCGTATTATACGGAAATAGGTCACTGTAATATGTGGTTGACACATGTAGACATCTTCACATAACTTTCCCCACAGAAAGGTGTGCCTTGCATCGAAGCTGTCAAGTTCCCAGTCTTTGGCTGCTGTGTATGCTGAGAGAAGGCGAATGGATGATGGCCATGACATGGGAGTGAAGGTTTTGCCGAAGTCGATTCCTGGTACCTGCGAGAAGCCCTGGGCTATGAGATGTGCCTTATGCACAGAACCTCCCTTATCATTCTCTTTGAATTCCAGCACCCATCTACAACCAATTACTCTCTGCCCTTCTGACAACTTCACCAACTTGTAAACGCCCATTTTGGACATCAGGTTTATCGCTAGAGTTTGAAAGTCCAGTTGCTGGACTGCAAAAAGACCAGCAACTGGACTGGACTGCAGTCTCAGTTGCCTCCCATCCACCCAAAAATGAAAAACCAACGAAAACTGGTTCAAACTGGTTGCAACCGGTCTTTTGTAACACTAACCCTACCCTATATATTACCGTATGATAGTGCCCATTGAGGCGCATTTATCAGTGGTTAGATCATAAAGAATAGTCAATATTTGGGAAAGTTATGAGCATTTCAATAATTGCTTGTAAAAGTCATATGAGCCTGTTTGTAATGCTCATAACTTGCTCAAATCTTACCTGTTTGACAAGATAAGAGGCTCTAAATGTTCATATTGATGCAGTCTTTAAGTCTGGACTGGTTGCAGACCTGTCTGCTCATGGACCGGTGAAGGTGAGGAATCTTGACCATAGGTGAAAGCTCTAAAAACTAATGGGTGCTCTACAGCAAGACCAGGATATGAGACAACGACTCGACCCAAAGGACAACTACTAAGAGAAGTTCCTTGATGATAATTTGGAGGGAAACTCTACAAGCTAGGCAGGCGCTAGCAGGTGTGAGAAGGTAATGTGCGTGAAGGCGCACGTGAGCGAGGCAAAGGTATGCGAGATGCATGCATGAGCAGGAGGTTCGAGGAGCACGCGCGTAGCAAAGGCGCATTCTGAGCAATAAGAGAAAAGACTCCTTAAGGAGTAGTGGAAGCGCAAGTGTTGATCAATGGAAGGTATAAACTGATTTCAAGTAAGGAGGTGCACTATACACTTTTTACAGTATACTGAGATAAGGGGAAAGTAAGTACCAGAACCAAAAGAGCTCTCCCTCTATTTAAGAAGAGAGATTACGCTATGCGGCATGCTTCCGAGTGCGGACCCGAACCAAGTAACCATATCAACTCTAAATATATCCTAAGTTTAAATAACTCTATATATGTAAGCGCGGACATCGGACCGAAGGTTTGTTAATTAAGTGGAGAAGATAAGAATAACGCACCAGTAAATCAGTAAGGACATGGAACAGATGAACAGACAATAGGAGCATGGAGGCCAAAGGGGATGCATGCAGAAGGCGTGAGTGAGGCATGTGCATGGGGTGCGTGTGCGAGAGCGCAAATGACTGGTTCTTCGGACAAGAGCTGGTATATGTAGGAATTTCAGTGGATAATAAGGCCATATATCTGGCATTGAGAGGCGTGAGTCTCTACACCGCTCTAAAACCGGTTGAGGACCACAAAAGACCGAAAATATCAGTCCAGGTCCAGTTGCCTCCAAATAGGGTCAAAAAAACAGACTGGACCGGATCTTAAAACACTAGTGTCATTTACCTTCACTTGGCATATGGTACCCATGATTTCACCTGCCAGATTCCATGTCAGACCCACTTGATGATACACTCCCAGCATTAAGTGAGGAGTCCAGCCACCTAAAAACACACCCAGGATTTGGGAGAGATACAAGTTATTACTGGTATGCAATATATATCTCTACTCAGCTTGTGATGACAATTTCTCCTAAGTCATTTATGCAACTGATCCACTCAGTCTCTAACAGATTCCTGCTGACTTCCATGTGGTGGTCAAAGCTGACGGTGCTGAATACCAGACAAGCAACAAATCTGTCAATGTAGACCAGGCCATTGTAGAATGGCACAAGCACATTGTTCTGTAAGTGATCCTTGACTCCATCTGTCCCACAGATATTGAGAAAGACTGCAGGCTGTGTGATCTGTCCTTTAAAGTTAGGGTCAGCATGTATGCCTCATTTGAATTAGGTCCCATGGTCTGTCATGGAGAGCTGCTCCACATGATTGAGATCTCCATCAAAGAGTTACTGGATCATAGTGAAAAATCACATTGTAAGTATCATCTACTGCAAATAATGCCTGACAGATGCTAATGAGGCTTGTAGCCATGATCTTTCAGTCAAAGCAGGAGGAAGTCATTGTAGATGAGGAATGTGAAGGGTAGGTAAATAGGTGGTTTGAGATATACTCAAGTAGTCCTTTGTGCATGAGCTAATGTCAGCCCAAGGGGATTGCTACTGAGAAGGTTCCTCTAAATATATAAAAGGAGGGAAAACACTGAACCAGGTGCTTAGTCAAGCCTGGTAAGGCATACAATGATTGAGTGAGAACACTGCAAAGCACTGCTGAGCGATGAAGTGCAATGGCATGCACTGAGTGGATGTGATGCACATATGTAGCATCCGGACCTCCTGTCCATGTCTCTAGACCAAATTCTCTATCCATCCGGATCCCTGTACTCCTGCATCTGATATCTGGATGCCAGATCTGATATTCACATCTCTGGATCTCTGGATCCAACCTATACTTCATATCCAAACTCAAACCTTAAATCAGTGCTCATCCCCTTATGGTAATCACCTGTCTCTGGACTTCCAAACATCTGGATCCGACCTGCATCCATCTTCCATGCCTTTTCCCTTTGTACGTTCCTTCTCAAGTTAGACTATACTCATTTTCTGTACCTCATTTCATTTCCATCTTCATTTACTATTTTCCGACAGACTAGTGTTTGACTTTTCTATACACTCCATCCACAGCCTCACATAGCTTCGGACTGTGCTGACTGATTCTCTGTTAAGTCCTCAGTAGTATATAGACTCTGTAGAATCTTTGTACTTCCTTAGTCTGAATATCATATTAGTTCTCGCACCAGTCTTCACACTAAGTCCTTGTATCAAGTTCTAGTCCCCCGACTTAGTCAAAATCCATCTCAGGCCTAAGGAGGAATTCCCTAGGCCAGAGCTCCTCTGATCCTCTATTCCTCCAAGTTTCGGGAAGTTCCTCTGGAACTTTCCTGCACTCGTCCGGAAAGTCCTTCCAAAGTTTCCCACACTCTTCCAGAAGTCCTTTGGACTTTCTCTGGACATTATTCTGAAATTAAGAGCACATACTTGGGTAAGGAGCGCAGCACATGAGCTGAAGCCAAGCCCCTTCGAATTAGTCCTACCTTTTGTGCACGGTGTAGAGACTCATGCCTCTCATGGTGTGATATGACACTTTTCCCTAGGGAGTACATGGCACGAACTTGTAGTGTCACTCTGTGTGCTACCCACAGCTATCCCTATATGAGGTGCAGCTTTCCCACACAATGTGTGCACACTTCCCACGCTTGAGTGCCCTATAGCACCAGCCATCCAGAAGCATCCATCTACTGTCCACTAAGTTCTCTAGTGCATATATTTCCATTTCCCTTATTTGCATATCGTTCCACCTTTATTTTTATCATGGACCCTTACTTATATATATCTTTACATACCTTACTCGGAAGCGCTTCGGCTCCACATGATAGTGCTTAAGCACCATATATAAGCGCCAGCAGTACATACTATAACTTACTACTGAACCTCACCAACTTGGGAACTTTCCACTAGGTTTTTGGCTACCCACTTACTACCTAGCTGAGCACAGTTGAAATCTATTCGTTTACACCTCACATCTCTCATTCCTTGTGTCTTATCATCACTTAAGCAAACTCATTCTCACTCTCTCTCATTTCTGCATACACGCATGCACTTTCCCACACTTCATGCAATACACTGTCTTCTTAGATAGATGATCTATAGATAAACACCTATAAAACCAAATATCTCCATGGTCAGCGATTCAGACAAATACCAATGACTGATAATGTGGTCGTTCATGGGTGGCTTGTCTTTGCTCCTAAGGTACAGTCAGCAATGTATAGCTCTGCACAAAAGTTAGCAGTCAATCAAGCAATCAACAGTCAATCCAACAGAATAACTATGAAACACAATGATAACAGAAACAGAACCCAATCAGTCAGTGATCAATAGCAACAACAACAACAACAACAACAACAACAACAACAACAACAACAACAACAACAACAACAACAACAACAACAACAACAACAACAACAACAACAACAACAACAACAACAACAACACAACAGCAAAATATCAAGAAACACAGTCACTCTATAAGTCTTCAGTGGACAAAAGAGACAACACCAAACTTCTGGGTAAAAATGAGACTGAAACTTTGATACTTGAGAGAAAGTTGATAGGGAGAAACAACAACACAATCAGACTGCTATAACAAAAATGCTAACTCAATCATGATTACAGAGACTGTTAGCAACAATGATTGCAACACACAGAGACAGCGATCACAGAGATGGTCAGTACGCACAGTCACCAACACACCACACACACACTTGAGAGACAGAGAGAGTGAAACAGAGAAACAGAGATGTTAATTTCACAGTCATGAATCTCAGACACATTTCCAGAGAGACAGAGAGAAAAAAAACAATATCACAGAAACAATATCAGAGAGAGACACAGACACAGAGAGAAACAGAAACAGAGAAAAACAGAAAAACAATCAGAAGAAATGAAAGAAAAATAAAACTAGTCTTGCTAGTCGTCAGACACAGTGAGCTCAAGGTATGTGCTAGATGTTCAACACAATGAGCTCAGATATGTTGTGCTGGTTGTTGAACACAGTGAGCTCCAACCTTGAACAGCACTTGCTGAATGTCGATTCACACTTCACTCACAATTTTATTCTGAGAGGGTAAAAGTGGCACTTTGGCTTTTTTATTGGGCAAGAAACAGTTCCATATATAGACAAATTGGTGGCTGTACTACTAGTTTCTCGTACTTAAAGTTGTAACTTTACTGTGATAGTACCAAGTCACACAATATCTTTGAGTTAAAAAGTAAATATTCATAACTCTCATTGATATAATGGTGAGTCAGTAAGAGCTGTGTATAGTCCATGGGTCAGGTGACCTTTGATGACTCAGCTAGTCAAGAGTGAGCAATGATTACATAATGTGTGCATATGTTTGTGCAGTCTGTGGCTGATGAATTGATTGATAGCATGATGACATAAGACGTGTATTTAAGGATTTGTAAGCTTTCCCACAAGGTAACCTTATGCAAACATATTTTTCAAAGTCATCTGATATGTGTGAGAATCTTTCTAAGTCATCCTCATGGCTGACTAAGCAGAACTTATTGCAGAATTAAATGTACAAAAAATATTCAGTCTACTCACGTGCAAACTTGAAAAATGAAGAAAAAGACAAAAAAATATCCCCTAGCCTCAGTATGACTTCAGTTCAAAGGGAAAAATGGTTTTATAGTAAATTCTGGGGTATAGGACTCATGGAAGAGTATTAGTCATCCATGCACTGAACCAGTTTGGTGCAGGTTAATGTGTATGTGTTTCTGTGCACCTGTGCTTTCTCGCACTTCACATTGACCAACCAGTAGCGCTTTCAGCACATACCTCTAGATCCTTGCTGCACTCGCTTCCCCTTTAGGGTTGAATGCACTTGTCATCTCAAGTATAGCAGACTAGGCAATGCATGACCGTACAACATTTATAGATACAGTCTGGAGCCTTGTTTGTGTCTTGCTGTATTGTTGTTTCTACAACAGTGTAGAGATTCATGCCTCTCATGGCGTGACATGGCAGTTTCCACCAAGGAGTGCATAGCACGAACTTGTAGCGTCACTCTGTGCACTACCCACAGCTATCCCTATACAAGGCACAGCTTTCCCACACAACACACACCATGCGCTCACCATTCCCGCGCTTCACGATGTATATGCGCGTGCGCGTTCCCGCACTTGAGCGCCCTATAGTGCCAGCCATCCAGAAGCATCCATCCACTGTCCACCAAGCCCTCTAGTGCGTATATTTCCATTTCTTTTATTAGCACATCATTCCACCTCTATTTTTATAATGGACCCTTACTTATATATATCTTTACATACCTACTCGGTAGCGCTTCGGCTCCGCATGACCGCGCTTAGGCGCGCTATATAAGCGCCAGCAGTACATACTACGAGAGGGAGTTTTCCACTTACTTTTCACTTACTTTCCCTTTAACTTACTAGTTACCACCCACCATTTTACTTAGCAGAACATAGTAGAAGTCTATTTGTCTACACTTCACATCTCTCTTCTCTTATATTGCATCATATTAGCACTTGAGTCTAACTTCTCTATTATTTCTGCATACACGTGCGTGTTCCTGCGCCTTGCGCACACCTGCGCTTTCTCACGCTTCGCTTCAGCGCACACTTCTAGATCCTTGCTGCACTCGCTTCCCCTAGGGTCGAACGCACTTGTCGTCTCAAGAATAGCAGACTAGGCAATGCACGACCTCACAACATTTATAGATACAGCTAGGAGCCTCTTTTGTTCCTCATTGTATTGTTGTTTCTACAACAGTCTTAACATGCAGTCAGTACCTTTACTATGCCTGATGAAGTGATACACCTAGTGGCTGGCCTTCAATTTGCCAGGGTTAAGATTATTGTTGGAACATTATGGAAAAAAGTGGATGACAGTGCTGTGCACCACTTAGTTGAGGCATTCTATACAAATTTATGTGGGAATGGCATAATGAATTTCAATCTTAAGGTCAAGAGTCTCAGAAGAAGCCTGATGTCTTTTGCAATAAAAGCAGGATAAAAGAATCAACAGTGACCATGTGATTTAAAAAATGATGAAATGCAGATAGATGTACCTTGAGGGTTCACTTCTGAATGAGTTCAGTGGAAATGAATCTCACTGGTCTTAGCCAAGCAGTCAATACAACAGAATCTAAATCTGTCTGTGTGGGTTCAAAACCTGCTAAAAATGAAATTTTCAAGGGATCACTAGAGTCAAAATCTGTTTCTCTTGGACTGCACAAGTTTGAAACCTGCCAGTGATAGCATGTTTATTTTTATTCTATGAAAGCATGCCTGGACATATGCTTATGGTCAGTCAGCTTGCAAGCTGATCATAGCTGTATTTAGCCAAGTGGTCATCATAACAGAATCCAAATCTGTTTCAATTGGAGTGCAACAGGTTTGAAACCAGTGAAACATTGCATTTTTGTTTCTATAAGAGCATGCCTCGAATATTTGCTCACAGATGACATCTCAGACATTTGTTTTTGTTGGTCTTTAGTCAAGTTGTCACCAGAGTCAAAATCTGTTTCTCTTGTACTGTGCAGGTTTGAAACCTGCTGATGATAATATTTTTATTCTATGAAATCACACCCTGACATTATTTCTTCATGAATCATTTTCTCAAAAACAGTCTTAGCTGTGTTATTGCCACAATATTTTCAAAATCTGATTATCCTAAACTGAGCGAGTTTGAAACCTATATAATTACATCTTTTTCATTGAAATATACCTTAAACATTTGCTCGTGAAAGGTTGTCTCAAAAACTCATCATAACCAATCTCAGTCAAGTGGTTGTTACAACAGATTCAAAGTCTGTTTATCTTGGACTGTGCATACTTGAAATATACTGAGTGATACATGTTTTTGACCTGCTCAGTCCAGGAGAATCAGATTTTGACTTTGATAAATCATGAACTAGAAACAAGGAGGATTAAAGTCCGAGAAACTGTCCATGAGCAAATATTCAATTAAGCATGTTGCAACATGAAAAAGAAATGTATCATTTGATTTGGCTCCAGAAAGATGTCAGAAATTGATGTTAGAACTGGAAAAATGCAGATAAATATATCTTGAGGATTCACTTATGAATGGATTCATTGGTAGTGCCTCTGACTGGTCTTAGCTAAGCAGTTGATGTGACAGAATCCAGATCTGTCTGTGTGGGTTCAAAACCTGCTAAAGATGACATTGCCTTGTTAAGTGAGTATCAGAGTCAAAATCTGTTTCTCTTGAACAGCACAGGCTTGAAACCTGCCAATGATAACATTTTTTCTAGCTCAATTGAATATTTGCTCAGAGACAGCTTCTCAGACTTTGATCTTCATTGGTCCTAGTTCAGTGGTTATCAAAGTCATAATGCCATCAGAAAATTGCAGCCTTCCAATTCATTTTGAGATTCATGTGGAAAATATGAAGGTGTGATTTCATAGATTAAAAATAAAAATGTTATCATTAGTAGATTTCAAACCTGCATAGTTCAAGAGAAACAGATTTTGACTCTGGTGACCACTTGACTAAGACCGATAAAGATCAACATTTGAAATGCTGTCTATGAG